GTCTCATCAATGATCCAAACATGTATTAAGGCGGTATAATTTCATCAGAGAGAAAATACATAGAAATGAAGTAAAGTAAAGAACAAATTCCCACATTTAACAATATTGCAGATCCACTGACAAAGAGTTGTCGTAGCATAAACATGATCGTCATGTAGACTTATGATATTGGATATATAAGTGATTGGATTTAGTGCAAGTGCGAGTTTGTAAGTATTATACCCTAAATCCAATCAACTTTGGACATAAATACTTTTGATATATAATTAATGCAATTTAATGGCAGATCTATTATTTAATTAATAGACAATTAAATAGATAATAGAGTCCGTAGATTCAAATCTTCGTAATTTGTTAATCACAATGAGTTGTGATTGTGAGATACAAATTATATCTAATTGAATCTTAAATCATCCGTGGTCGTAAGTAATAATAAAATACGGATATCGTTATTACGGATAGACCATCACCTGTGGCATTTCTTACTTGTGAAGTAGGTGATCTCACAAGCTAAGGTGTGGTGACACTTAAATGAACACGTGGATATTTTGTTATAGAACAAAACATTGGAGACCCATCGAGAGATTCCATATGGATAACTATTTGAGTGTTAGTAGTTAATATCTAACGTTCGATAGTGGAATTAGTTTTTTGACTTGAGGTCGTCATGGTACCTTATATGAGGATAGTCATACTTTGACGGTGTTGGATGTTACTCTGCAAAGAGCCGCTAATACGACATCGTTCGGGTACGTCAAGAATCGTATGATGGTTGTGATTGATCAATAAAAGATTCGTCACTCTTAGATAATAGAAGATTATGATCTGTATTTCATTCAATTAAGTCGATGAAATCCTTGGCCAAGGTGTACTCATAAGTTGAAAAGAAGTTTTCGACTTATATTGACTTAATAGTGGAGTGAAAGATATGATCGATAATCGAAATTGACACAATTTCATATCTCATAATTGATCGGATCGTATTAACGAAGAGATTATATTTTCACGGTAAACGAACGAGTTTGGTATTGTCATACCACGTGACATTCCCCGTCACATGTATTGCCTTGACACATTGCTAGATGTCATTTTGGGATAACGAGTGTGAAATGACGATAAATTAAAAGGGTGTTTTAATTTATCAATTTTGATTAGATCAAAATAATATTTCACGTCGTTCGACATCGTGATCAGAAACCTGATGGATCACACATAAAAGAGAATTGAAAGATTGCAATTTGTCAATTAATTAATTTAACAATCATTGGATAAATTAATTAATTGGGTTGGTTATTTATAGGCCCGAATTAATT